AAAAACAACTACCTAAAAGACACCTTTTTATATACTATATATATATATATATATATATATGCCCAAAATCAAAAGGAGTGTGCATCTTGCTTAAACCCCAGAATCCTCTACCTCCTCAAGTCTCCCGAATGAAAATGATGTATTTTCATTAAAGCAGGGTCATAATTGTACTTTCTATTATAAAAAGAGATTTGTTATAAGGAAAAGCTAGAGTAGCATACAACAATGACTTTTTATCTCCTCAGATAGTGAGAAAAATTTATTGTGCTCATAAAGTTAATCTTATTTTAAAATTAATTTTAAAAAATAAAAGTTCATAAAATATATAGTTGAAAATAAATTTAATCAAAAGAAATAAAATTGTCATTAGAAAGTTAACAAATTAAATTTAATTAAAATAAAAAATAAAAGATAATAAATAAATCTAAAAGTATTTAAAGATAATAAATGAAGTAAAAAATAATATAAAAGTCACTAATCTATCGGTTAAATTAAGCCCCATTTTAATTATTTCTTAGTATTTATGTTGTTCAAAATTACTTGTAGTGATAAAGAGAAATATAGAAAAGATGAAGATAATATAAAATAGGTAAAACCCTACATTAAATTTCTAAACTTATCTTAAATTTTTAATTAATTCTCTAAACTTTTATTAAAGTGAATAAGTTTATAACTTGTCGATTTAAGTAATTTAACCTTATTTCTTACCGAGGGTTTAACGTCTGTTTGTATGTTATTTATATGAATAAGGTTAATATCTATCATATAGGTAATGACATGTCAATACTTTATTTACATAAATAATGCATAAATAAGTGTTAAATTCACCATAAAAAAATGGTTAAATTGACTAGATTGATAAGTTTAGAGACTTATTTACTTCAATAAAAGTTTATGAGCTTAATTAAAAATTTAAGATAAGTTTGGGGGCTTAATGAAGGGTTTTACCTACATAATATGGGAAGAGGTAAAAAATAATTGAATAAAAATTGTTTATTATTTTTTTTATAAAATATTTGTTCATTAATATTTTCCTTTTTCGATGGTCATGGTGTATATTACTCTACTTATTACATTTTTGTTTCTATTTTTCAACTAATGGTTTTTATATTCATTATTAATTACTATTAATTTATTGTTAAACACTAATAAATATTACTTTATATATATATATATTTTACTTTTCACATTAATACACGCAATCATATGTTTTAGTCAAAATTTTATTTTGTCTCCTAAAAACATTTCTTAGCTCTGCCACTGATTCAAAGTTTCTTCGCCATCAAGTGTACCCACTTTCTTAAAGTTGGTTCATCTTTGTGCCTTTGTCCTTGATCAATACCAATATTCTACAATTATATGAAGAAGCTTTGCTCTAGTATGCTTTTTCTTTGATTATGCTTTACTCTTTTAGGTTTTTGTACTTTGCGCTTTAGAATGTATTAATTTTACTTTTTATTAATTATTATGAAAAAATAAAAATAAAAATTAATTTTATTAATTATTCAATTAAAATTGTACATATGTCATTGATATTGAAAATGAAATTAATTTTTATGTTTTCTTATAAAAAGTAATGAGTAAACAATGTTATTAATATACTCTTAACATATGTTTTTAATATACATGTTAAATAAACTCTATTTTTTCTTTATTTATATCCATGGTTCCTTTGCGATGCATTTGAATTTTCATTGTCGTTGTTTCTTAGCATGGAAGGATAGGTTTAAAAAAAAAAAAGAAAAGGGAAAATGGAGAAAAAACCATTGCATTTCCTTCCTCCTTTTCTAAAGTTATGTTCCAAAATTCAAAAGTGGTTCGCACGAGTTCTTAAATTTAAGATTTTTAGTTATTGTAAATAGATTTTTTTTTAACTTGTGTTTTAAGTGTAAAAGTTAATAATATTTTTTTGATAATATTAATTATTATTAAAATAATTTATGTAATATTAATAATAAAATTAATATTATTTTTTATTATTTTAATATATATTAATAAAATTTATATGTTAATTAGAATCTTAATCTATATTCTAACATACAAATGTTAGAAAAATTCATTATAAATAATTAAAGTATGAAATAAAAAGTAGTAGTTTTACTTCTGCTTAATTTTCAGCCATTTCTCATTTCATTATTATATTGCTTTCATAAAAGCGGTTTTCAGCTGAAGGGTCCTGCTTAGAGCTCAAAATACTCTACCTCCTTTAACACTATGGTTCGATGAAGATTAATAAGGGAAAGTGAAGGAAAGGGAGGGAAAATAAAGTATTTGTATTAATTTTATTTGGATAAATTAAAAAAAATAGAAAGATAAGGGAGGGAGAGAGTATGTTTTTTTATTTAATTAAATAAATTTTTAATAAAATAATTATAAAATTAATTAAAATTTTATAAATTTATATATTAAAATTAAAATATAAATATAAATTTTAATTATATTTTTTTAAAAATAAAAATAAATTCAATCCTTTATCCACCACCTTCTCATCTCCCTCCATTAATGATATTATTTAAGCAATATTATCTAAACAGTATAAAAGGAGAGACACCTTCACTCTCCTGTCTCCTCCCCTCCACTCTCAACTCTCTCAATTCAAACAGAGGCAAAGTCCCTCAAATGAAAATGGTATATTTTTCCAGTGAAAGATTAACGTTTTTACTTTGCTCATCACATAATTATCAATTTTTGTAATTGTTACCTCGATACTGAATGTAAACAGGGAGGCTCAGGTGACATGGAAGAGATCTGCCCTAAATTGGGACCATGGGGTGGCCTAGGCGGAACTGAGTGGAGTTACAAGCCTAAAGGTTCCATTACAGAGATAGTCATTCTCCATGGATGGGTAATCGATTCCATATCCTTCAAAAGCGACAATGGGAATGGTTCTGCTGAGTATTCCCAGAAATATGGTGGGGAAGGTGGCAAAACTGATAAGGTTAGTTTAAAACGTGATGGGATTCTGCATGTCCTCATGGCTTCTTCTTTCTTCTTTCTTTTTTTCATTTTTTCTTTTAATAATATTGCAATGTTTGTAGGTTTTGCTGGACTTTCCAAGAGAGTACTTGACTTCCATAAGCGGAACTTTTGATTCTGCTTGGCCATTCGGGCCGGTGGTCATCAAATCCCTTCATTTCCACACAAACAGGACACGATATGGACCGTTTGGTCGAGAGACAGGACAACCTTTTTCTTTACCAATGGAAGATGGTGCCATCGTTGGTTTTCATGGACGAGCGAGTGGCTCTATTGATTCCATAGGGGTCTACATAGAGCCATTTGCAGCATTCTCGTCTCCAACCGAAGTCAGCAATGTGATGGATCTCGTTCTGCCAAGGGATCCAGGGCCGTGGGGAGGTACTGGTGGGAAAATTTGGGATGATGGCATCTTTTCTGGTGTCTATGGAGTCAATGTGCTGGTGCTGGGTGTCATAGTCAGAGGAATACAAATAATGTACCGGAAAAGAAATGGGGAGATTTATTTGTCAAAAAGGCGCGGTGGTTTTGGTGGTAAAAGTCATAGAGTAAGTTTTCTTTTCCTGCTCTCTCATGAATATTAACTAATGCATATATCTTTGTGCTTAATGAAATCTGTTTGATTGAATTAATGGTGGTTTGATTGAGCAGATCATTCTGCAGAACCCAAGTGAGTACCTGGTGGGGATTGCTGGATTTGTTGGGAAGATAGAGGAAAAGGATGGGTTTGAAGTGTTGCGTTCCCTAACGTTTTATACAAACAAGGGGAAACATGGCCCTTTTGGGGACGAAATTGGCAGAGAATTCACTTCTGGTGCAATGGGTAGCGGAATAATTGCTGGATTTCATGGGAAAAGTGGAGCCTATTTAGATGCCATAGGACTTCATATGGAATATTTCTGATTAGCCTGTTTAGCGTTTGTGTTGTTATAGCTTGTTTGGAACTTGTAGTATTATTTTAATGGGAATATTAGCGTGTTTTTAATGCTTTGTTTGAGGACATGAGTTGTAGAATCATGACAGAATAATTAGGCTCAAAAAAGACTGCAATCCACACAACACACAACATGTTCAACCCAAGCGAGTCAGCGGTTGCTTTAGATACTAAAAAAAGTTATTTTCTTCCGGATCAGGACGTTTATTTTTATGCAAAAAGAGTTTTATAATATAATCTATATCTCTATGACTAGCTTAAAGAATCATTACACAGCTTAAAAGTTTGTTGCCCATCTTTGTTGTTCAAATCATCATGTATTCAACTAGCTGCACTACAGATAAGGATGCTAGCTTCAAAGCTATTACTGGAAGTTGCACATATATCTCTATACTACATTTGAGATGGTGCTAAATGGAATTTGCTGATTTGGTGAACCAGAAGCCTGCACCAAATACAAGCGACGACATGGGGTTCCATCATCTGGGTGGGTTTGTAATGATCTGGGCAAGTTGCGGAGTTTGTTGAACAGATTTTGTGGGTCATGTAGCAGCCCGAAGTGAGCATCTGGATCACCAATCTGTGAAAGATTAACATGAGAAAATCCTAGTGATGGTAGAAGATGATCAGGCCAATCACTGTAAAAGTGGAAGACTGAATTGCACAGCATGGTTGATGGTTTGTTCATAAAATCTGCTAAGAGAACTGTTTCCGTGAGGGCACACTTGTCAGCTATGACCTTCAGTACTTGCATGGCATGTGATTGGCTTAGATAGTAGAGGATACCTTCTAGAACCCACACCGTGCTCTTTTCTAGCACAAATCCAGAGTTTTGTAGCTTTTCAAGCCAGTCATTTTCTCTGATATCAGCAGCTACTCTAGTTAGGGATTTTGCAGTCATTCTAATATTTTCTGTTGATCTGACTGCTGCCTGAATAAGAGCATCTTTCACTTGTAAGACACTGGGAAAATCTACTTCAAAGACATCGCTTTCCATCAAGCATCCTAGACGGTATGTCCTTGTGTCCATTCCTGCAAATGAAAACCATCTAGGCTTGTTTATTATGCAGTAAGATTTGATTTTCATCTGCAGTTTTGTTGGTTATATAATCTAAAATTTGTTACACTATTCTAATGAGTGCAGTTTTAGATGAGTATATGCATGAATCCTCTGTTTTTTTAGAGGAAGCTTGCTTTTCTACTCAGAAGACAAACCTATCTTGATTGTAAACCTATCTTGATTGTTAACAATCATGAGCTGCAGTTAGATAGTATAATGTTTGTAATATCCACCATTTGGATCAAATGGGTCAGATGGAAAAGTGGTGCATTGGTTAATTGGTGAAAGTATGTGCTATTCATGGTTGATACAGTCTGGTTCAGTACACATCAGAAAGCAAGACAAAGGCATGTATGGTGAGCAGAAATTGATACTGATTGGCCCTAGCATGGTTCAGCTTCATTCTTTGCAGGGTTTAATTGGCAGATTATGACAAAGCAGCGTAAATGAACTCATCCAAGGTAGTATTCTACATTTTTCTGGCTACCATTCAACTCAATCTGCTTTTTCATGAAAAATGTTGAGGGCTATTGTTGACAAACCCTTTTGGTGGCACAAGTATCCTGATTCTAAGATAAATGGGACAACTTGTTGAGCATTATTGTAGACTGAGAACTAACCTGCACCAAGGAGAACAATTTGAGATCCTCTGCCTCTCACAGAATCAAGAGCAGCTTCAATTTTCGAATCAAACCAGAGGGTTCGAACAGCGAGCATCACTCCTGAAATTTCAGTAGCATTGTTGTGGCGGTCTTTCTTGATCTTCTCATGAAAGCTTCTGAGGTATGTTTCTCCTGCAAGTAAGCCTGCAAGCGGATCATTTATCACATGATTCCACAGGGCTCTCCCGGCTGCTATTTGGCATGCTGACTTCTGCAGAGAATCCCACTCATTTTCAATTGTTGAATGAATATCTCGCACTGTTTCAGAAAACAGCAAGTGCGGAAGCTTCAGCTCTTGCCAATGTTGGTCCTCTGGCACGCCATTCTCTTGTTTTGACATGTTAAAAACCACGGTAATTTTGAAAGCCAGCAGAACTGAAGGAGATAATGCATGCGATATGTGTATTAGGATTGGCTCAGAGAAGAAACAGGGGATTGTGCGTAGGGATAAGAAAAGAGGGCCACACACATAACCAGCGTCTGAGAGAAAGCCCTCAATCGTATCCAGTTTCTTTGCCTTAATGAAAAGGAAGGTAAACAAGTAGTCCACGAGTGCCTACATTTCCCAAATCGACCTTTCCTTTTCTTCTCTGTCCCCTTTTGAGTGAAAAAAAAAAAGTGATAATGAATGGCTCCCACCGGACTATTGAGAAAATTTGGATATTAGATGTGATCATGTGGTTGGCTTCTCTGCTTCTCAATTGGGATAGTAAAATAGAGAAGCCCCCTAACTGCTCCCCAGTACTTCTTGTCTTTTATCTCACATTTGGCAAATCTACCCCTGATTTCGATCTAGGATTCCACCACATTGACGTAAATAGATAGAGAACGTTGCTAATTGTGATAAGAGGGAAGACGAAAATTCCTATGTTGACAAAAGTGAATGACATAATGAAGGCTCTGTTTTGATAATAGCGTTGAGCACCTAAACCTCTGGCTACATTTGTAAGATGCACTCTCTTTAATTACAAATTTTATTGGTTTATTGTATTTTAAAAAAATTAATATTTTCAAATTTTGAATTTTAATAAATCAAATTTACAATAAGATAGTTGTTTAACAAAAAAAAAAAATCTAATTTTTAAATTAGCAAGTTCTGTAATTCATCCATTTTTTGAGCAGGGCAATTATAGGGGGATGGGAAGGGGATATGCTTAGAGGTTGAAGTTGAACCCAGTTGCCGTCAGTCATGGGCTGTTCTCGCCTAACCTCTGCAGCGTGGTCCATGTTGCAGTGTTAGGTTACAGAAGCATTAAATTGGAGATGAAAAAGAGGATGGTCAGAGCAGTCAACAAACGAAACTGCAACATTAAAGTAATGAACCCTCGTACTACCGTATCCGACGGTGAAGAATGGGAACCTTATCCGGTCCATATTCTCTACCCGAGACCACTCGGGTTAGATCATCCCACCTGCCGCCAGGCCCGCCACCGTATCTGGGCCCACGCCACCGTCAAAAGGAATATATACCTGGCAATATCAACTTATCAACTTGCTACACGTGCACCTCATTCGTTGCAAGCCTCGAATAATAGTCCCGAAATGACAAATTATTTGCTGCTAAACCTTTTTTTTTTTTCTTGGAACAAGGTTATAATTTTGGGAGGGGAAATCGAATCCGAATATTTGGATTAAAGATGCACCTTACAAGTCAATCCCATGGTTAGTTGGGTTGTGAGAGTCAGGTGCACTGTTAAACCTGATTGAAACAGCTAATTGCAGGTGACAGAAAAAAAAGTTTCGCCGTTTTATGGTTTATACCTTACTTAACTACAGGATAAAACTAATGAGGATTGAATCAAGTGACAAGTGATTTGTTTTAGCTTAAACAAGATCTCGAGTTCAAAACCTTGTGTATGCAGCAGTTTTTGTTGAGAGACCCACTCACCATTCTGGTGCGCGAAGTCTTGAATACCGGGCGGAAACCAAAAAAAAAAAAAAAACTATAAGATAAAAATTATTAGCAAGTAATTTATTAACTTTTTTAGTAAAAATAAGAGTTCTTAATTTAAATTTAAACGTAAATTAAAGTATTTTT